TCTCAGTCGGTAGAGCATGGGGAGCTGAAAAGTCCTTGACTAGTGTAAGCATTGCTCAGCAACAACTAAAACATCGGTGTGTTATCAACATTATTCTCATCCTAAATCCAAAACACAGCACTGTACCAGCTACTAGGAAGAAAATTAACTATCCCAGCTGAAACCAGGACAGGCAGTGTGCAAGCACAGCAGTGACCGCCAGAATTGATAGAAAAAGGGTTTGTGGGGCAGGCAAGACTCTCTCCTGCCACAGAAAGGACACATTTCAGAGACAGGCACTCACTGGAGCAAAAACCATGGTGAGACCCCCCCTGTTCCCAGAAAAAATGGATTTGCTCTGACGCTGGGTTAAACTTCCCACGGAGGGCGCTGGCCTTTGAGCACGAGAGCCAGGGTCTCAGGTCCAAGGTGGGCTTGTGTGTGCTGCCCACAGGGCTTGTTCCCCAAACTGGTCCTCCGCAGCAACCCTTTGTGGGGTGCTCAGGTTGCTTTGCTGAAGTGTAGCAGTGTGGTTTGTAAAGCCCATCTCTTGTAAAACCCACCTGGAGACCTGCTTTTAAAAAGAGCTTGGTGGGTTTTAAGACAGGAGTTTTTCTTGCAAGTGTGCCCAGGGTCTCTGTGTTGGTGTGTTAACCTTGGAGCCTCCTGCAGAAGCAACTGTTGGCATCTCAGAGTGGTTTACAGCACCGACATCCAGCAAGTCCTGTTCCTCAGAGAGCTTAGCTTGCCTCACTGCGCTGCAGTGTTGCTTGCTTGGGTGTTTGGCTCCTGGGGCTTCCCTGCCAGGCAGCAGCAGCTTGGTGCAATGGGGGCAGTGGGGTAGCAGAGGATTTGGAGTGGGATTTGTGTTACTTACAGGCTCATGCTGTGCAATGATGATCTATGTCTCAGCTGGGAGTTTGCTTTTCATGATTACACGATGTGCTGATCACATTTACTTAGCCCAGGAATTCGCTTTCTGCAACGGGGCTTGATCACTGGGCCAAGCCCTTGGAGGAGTTGAAGGAACAAACTTCCAGGCTTCAGATGTGGAGTTTCATCCTGGTGTGCAGGGAATCTGCCCGCATGGCTGCTTTGGAACCTCTTCTTATAGGATCAGTGCAAAGTGCTCAGCAGCTTTGGTGCTGAGCAGCTGTGCTGAAGCAGCAGCTTGCGAGCAGGAGGGCTGGTGCAGCTCCCCACGAGAGTTGGCAGAGCTGAGACTCTGCTTGCTGACCCACTTCCACTGCAGCATAGGAGCCACTTCTCCCCCAGCCCGGGTTTGCAGCTCTGGAGATTGCACCCGTATGCGTTTGTGAGGACTGGCAATGGCCACAGCTCCGAGCTGGGCTTCTGTACTGTTTATGAGTAAATGTCAAAACAGTGTCTCATCCCTCTGCTCCAAACAGCAAAACAAAACAAAACAAGTTCCTTTGTATCCAAGAAGAAAATTATTAGCAGGAAACTAAACTGCTGTCTAACTTCAAGTATGAACATTTCTGTTCCAAACCCTAACGTTCTCCCGGGATATCGGTTATAAATTTGTCAAATCTGTTATCCCTTTGAAAAGGCTGTGCTCGATCCAGAAAGGGAATTGAGAAGGGAATACATTGCAGGGATCCCTATTCTTTGTGTGAAAACAGAATATATCTGAAATACAGCCGACAGAAAAGTGACACTGGGTGGAAATAAGCAACCTCGCCAGGCTTTCTGAGTATGGTTTCACTTACATATGTAACTCAGCATGTGTGCCTCCCTCTTCAGAAGTAATGTGTTGCCGGAGAGGGATGTGTGAATGGCTTTGAAACTCTCAGGGAATTTCCACTAAAGGAGGATGTGGCAGGTGGGACTGACAGTGGCTCCGAGAGTTTTGACATTTCCCTGATAATTTAGTTTGTTTGTTATGTTTGGTTATGAGTAAATGCTCGGTTTACTGTGGACCCCCTCGGTCTTTGGATGCGTGTTTCCACTGCTCGGAAACCTCCCCACAGCCATCTCTTTGCTCGGCGCTGGCGTCCTCACACATGGTGAAGATTCATTGCCCGCTTAAACCTGCAGCCATGCCCAATCCCATCCTCAGGCGTGCTCTCTCAGTCTGTACGGCTGGTTTTCCATCCAAAGTGTTGTGCAAAACTCCAAAAATCCCTATGCAATGCTGCCTCTGAAACACTAATGCCTATTAATTACAGGGAAAGTAAATGTTTGCATCTTCAAAGCCAGTGGATATCTATCCTTTTGGCTCCTTGGAGAATGCCACATTATCTTCCAAGATGGAAAGTCACCAGCCCTATGTGGCAAACCAGAGATGCCAGGCACACGGGCATGTGGGGGATGCTGCTTAAAATGCTTTTGCTGGGCTTGGTTTGGGTGACATCTCTTCTGGCTTAGACATGTCGAGTGTGCAGGCAGAGTTGCTCATGAGGCAGTAGCTGCAGGGAGCAGCTTTCCCAAAGGTGCTGGGGCAGAGTTGCCCAGTGTACACACACACACACCGATGTATATACCAAGGGAATATATTTGGGCTTGAGTGAGCCTGCTGTGAGTGCTCAGAGTGCGGTGTTTTCTGAGGTTGTGCTTAGAGGAAGGGGTTGCAGGAAGGAATCACTGGCCCATCTCCACCTGTAAATAAACCCAGCCAGGACACGGCTTTGCCCACCGGCTTGCCATCCTCTGCACTGTCTGATGGAGGGCGCAGTCCCTGGCAGCATCGTGGCCCTGGCCACCAGCATGGTCCCAGGCGATGCCAGGGCATGGCCAGGGAGATGGAATGGGCCAGAGATGGCTCCCACTGGTGGCACGGACAGAGGCACCTCATCTGGGGGCGGAGAAAGGCATGGGTGTGAGTTCTGCCTTTAGGGCCAGAGAGCAGCCCCCGGTCATTCTTCTTTATCAGTGCATTTATTAGTTGACTGAAGGTGGGCAGCGCCTCTCCCCTGTGCCCGCAGGTGGAGACCTGGGGGGAGCAGGTCGCATCCTGCCTCTCCTCTCCAGGGGGAGCAGTGGGGCTGCCCGTGCCCTGTGCTGCAGACGGGGCTCTGCCCTCTCCTGGGGAAGATGCTCAGGGATGGAGGCTGCCTCTGTCGGCAGAGGTGTCTCAGTTTCACAGCTGCAGTGGCAGGAGGGTGTCACGCTGACAGCGGGGATCTGCCCCACTTGCCGTCCCCAGCAGGCGGGTGCCCTAATTCCTAGCAGACACTCCCCATAGCAGCAGGCAACAAAGTAGATCCGGAAATTCCTGAGCTTTGGGAAGTGGGCTTTAATGTAATTAACTGCAACAGAAGAAGAGGTCAGATAATAGGGGCAAAGGTTTCTCTTTAAAATGAAAGGGGAGGTAAATGAAACCAGCTGCCCAGGAGCCAGTGCACTGCCTTCATTAAATATGGGACAATGCTCATGGTCCCACGCAGCAGATTGTGGATCTTTCCAGAAAACCATTTTAAAGGCAGCACAAGTCCCGGAGGTGACAGGACAGAGACATGTAGCCCCAGGTTCGCCCAGGTGCCTGGCACTGCCCCTTTCTGGGAGGGCTGTGTGCGCCCTGGCCTTGCAGCCTGCCCAAGGACAAGGGCATTTCTGGCTGGCAGCTGTGCTCAGCCCTGCCGCAGTAGACCCTTTGGCAGCAGCTTTTTTGGAGTACTGTTCCCAGCTCTTGTCTTCGTGTCTTGAGTCTCATGCTGCCGTTCCAGCCAGGGATGGGGGCCGGGAATTGGGGTGGTGCATTTCCTCACGCTGGCACAAATCCCTGCCCAGCCCTTGGTGGAGTCCTCCCCCCCACGCTGTGCTCTGGTTTGGCCACCTCCGGAGTGATACAGTCACACTTCCCTTTGCAAAGTGCACTGATCCCATCCCGGGTTTCTAGGGCATATTCAAATGGAGGTTTTAGAAATGGGGTAATGTAAACGGAAGGGGGAGAACTGGCCTCAGCTTTGTATAGCATAATAGGGCACCCAAAGTGTCTGTACATGGCCTTTCCTCTGAGACATATGTCTCATCTAGGATTTAGTTGCTAGATCCCTCTTTTCCTTGGCTGGCTCTTCTCAAGTTCCTGCAGATTGTCTGTCTACAGAGATAGTGGCATCAAACTGGGGAACACGATGAGTCAGCTCTGCATGCAATTGCCCGTATCTATTCTCTCGTATTAGGAGAAACGGCATGGTCTGTGCCCATGGTGGGCATGCTGAAATCTCCTAGGCTTCAGGGCCAACTCTGGTGCTGCATCATACTCAGAGCCCACTGGAAGATCTGCCAGACTGTGTTGGAGCTGAATAGCTTGTCCATGAGCTACGTGTCCTCTGTCTCTGCAGAGCCGTGGCTGCCAGAGACCCCTGCCCGCGCTGGGGAGGGTCTGTCCATTCGTCTCCTTTGGCACTCAGACCTCACTGGCATGGGGAGAGGAGGATGTGGATGCCGCAGCCCCCGGGACTGGCTCGGCCCGGCTGCCTGTGCACCGCGCTGCTGCCTGGGGAGGTACTTGTCAGCTCTGGAGCTCCCTGCAGCTGCTGCTGGCTTTTTTGGAGGTTGGAGAGTTGCGACTGTTCGGGTTTGGTTTTTTTTTTAAAGTCAAGTGCACTGAGTCATTGTAAATATCAGCAAAGCTGCAGCCTTTGCTCCTGGGAATAATCCACGCCTAACGAGCCCTTCTCCTGCTTTAAAGGCCTGTCAGTTGTCTGCATTTTGCAGATTTCTATACTGCCTTTACTGACAGTTGAAGTTCTCTAAAGGAAGTGCCCGAATCTCAGCGACGAAGCTTACAGCTGGAAACAGCTCACCCGTTCCCGAGTAGCCTGGTAGCAGTGAAGACCTCAGTGCCTCTCTCTTCCTCGCAAGCCTTGTGCAGCTGGTGGCATTTTCCCTCTTCCCCAGTTTGGGGAGGTTGAAAGTTCCTGTTGGTGTCCAAGAACTTCCCAGGCAGATCTGCAAGAGATCCTTGCCCATCTTACAGAAGCTTGTAATTGTCTTCGTGCTCTGCTTAAATACCCAAAGCCAAGGTGCTCCCCTCCTCGCTCCCCCAGGAGACATGCTACCAACAAGATTTCCTGATACTGAAGCAGGTTTATTTCTGCCTTTCATCCCTCTGCCAGTCCCCATTTCTCTGGGTTGTTAATGAAGGCGTCAAAACAATGTGACCGTGGCACTGTCCCGGGGCATTTCTCTTCCCTGCAGGGCTGTGCTCAGCACAGCAGCACCTTCCCAGGCTGCCTCTGCACGGTCCCTGGGAGGGCAGAGCCTTCTCTGGGGCTGCTCCTGGAGAGATGTTCCTCTCCCTTGGCAGCGGAGCTATAAGTCAGAGCACACCTTGCACGTGGAGGAGGCAATGAGGAGATGCAACCCTGCCTTTGCTTTCTGAGGGATTTTTTTGGGACCATATCGGCTTGCACAGACAAGCTGAACCCTGCAGAAAGCTCACTGCATTGGAGGAGCCATATGCAGACTGAGGTCTCTCTAACTCCATCTTTTCCCATTTAATACAACCTTATTTTTATGGCCTTTCAGCCAGTTTTCGGCCCAGGTGATGGGGTTTTTAGTCCACAGCAGTCTGAAAAAATCATTTCTGTTCAGTTCTTAAGTACTGTGTTAAAATCCAAACATCTGCTATCCCCAGAGTCCATTGCTTTGTAATTTTGTCTTAAAAAGTAATCTCTGTAAACCCCACTGTTGCCTGCTGCTTACAGATCTGCTCTCCTCCCGGCAGCCAGTGGTTCGATAGTGTATAAGTGATTGGAATGATTTCGAACACTTCCCAAGTCGCCCCTGGAGATAATCTCTGCCCTTAGCACCTTCCAGTCGACACAGACATACAGAAATGCCTCTTTCCTCCTTCCCTGGGTTACACAACGTTGGAGTGAAACTGGGCATGATCCCTTGCTTCTCTGGGGACACAGCCAGGACTATGCGTCTGGGGGAGGATTGGCAGAAGAGACTTCTCATTTAATGCATTTCTGTTCTGGGCCAGTTAGTACTGGTGTTGCTCCCCTTTCACCGCAGCCCTGCACAGCTCCAAGTGCATTTACCCTGTTACCTGGGTAGTGACTTGGAGCAGTGAGATGCAAAAATCCTGTCTGAGCCCTCGTGCATGTTGCATGTGTGCTCTGGCTGAGGCTGAGTTAGCCGGCAGCATCCTTTGGGGATGCTCCTGCATTCCAGCACCCAAGTGAAGCAGCCACTATGGCCACTACAGCTGCACGCTGGTGTGGATGAGATGCATGTTATGGAGGAATCAGCCCTGGAAACCTGAATCCACCGTTCTTCAGACCCCAGCTCTTCAGCCCATTATGCATCCCAGCACCCATGGCTGCACTGAAGTCTGTGGAGAGGGAGAAGGGTCTGTGCAACTCTGGTGGATGTGGCTCCAGCAAGGGATGGGAGGCAGCGGCAGGGCCCTGTCAGCCCCAGCCAGAGCTGCTGTAATTTCCATGCACCTCCATCACCCCAGCACAGCTCCGACATGCCCCGGGGCTCACTCTGTCGAGCGGCTGATGCACGCTGCAGATTTGGGAGGAGAAGATTCAGAAAGTTTCTCTTCCAAAACCTATTTTTCAGCCAAACAGCCATCCCAAGGGTATGCCAGTGCATGCTGCAGCAGACATCCTGGTGTCCCTGCATGGCTGGGAGGAGTCTCTGGGAGATGTGCAAGGGCTGCCACTGCTCCTTGCGTGGGGGCAGAGGTGCCAGTCCCAGATACTTCCTCAGGAGGAGCCAGCTGGGATTACCTCCAGCCCCAGGGTATTTGCACTCCAGGACAGACTGCTTCACCTTATGTCCTGGAGCCAGGAGACAGTATTGAGGCATTTCAGAACCGTCCTCCCACACTTAGAGACGGATGATTCACATCATGATTGGCAGCACTATAGCTGTGTTTTATATAAGCAAGCACGTGGAGAGCAGGAATCAGCCCTCTGTACAGGAAACATTCCCTGGCATTCCCAGGGCAGAAGGGATTTCTGTGAGAGCAGGACTTCCCCTGCAGGTAACAGACATGGCGTTTCTCGAGCGGGGGATTTGGCTGTGGACTTTGCTGGGAGAGCGAGCAAGGAAGGTGCAGGTGGTGCAGGGGTGCTGGGAGCAGGGCTCACACTGGTGCCATAGCTCCTCCGCCCGTGCACCCCACGGTCACTAATCCTTGCTCAGAAACACCATCGGGGCCTAGCCTGGAGGGTTGTTATGGCAGCAGGATGTCCAGGAGCAATTCTGGTTCTCAGACTAGAAGAGGCTTTATACAGTCTTCCCTGCAGACCAGCCATTGAATGGAGAGTGTCCCACAACCCAGGCAGAGTGATGCAGTTATTCCCACGGCTGGGAGCACAGGCAGCCTCCCCTGTCCCCTCCTGGGTGTTTACTGCAGCAATTTCTAGTGTGGCTTAGAGGGTGTTTCCTGCTTGGGACCCTTCTCCTCCCTGGTGTCTGCGTAGTGTCTTCCTGAGGCTAAGGGGCCCTTTGTTTCAGCCATTAGATGTGCATCTTCCATTTTGCCATCCCGTAAGAGCAGTCTTTCCAGTAGCAATGATACTGGGCCCAGGGCTGACTGGCTTATCTGCCTTTTGGAAACAGGGTGTCCCTAAGACAGGGGATGTGTACAGACGGGATGAGCCGGGTGAGAAGATCTCCCAAGATCTCCCTGGTGGTGGAGCCCAGGCGCTGCTATCACAGGCATCGTGTTGGAGGGTCTCTTTCCGTGGTGTCTCCGCGAGATCAGTGCAGAGGGTGCTGCAAAGCCTTTGCAGGTGGCGTTTTGCTCCCAGCATTTTCCGTTCTGCTCCCAGCGTTTCACCAGCAATAGTGCAAAACTTCCTGTGGTTTCTGCAGTGCAGGTTTCTCAGCGTTCAGGGTGCATCTACCTCACGCGCTGTTTGGAGACTGAAAGCATCTGCCAGACACAGGCACGGCCGAAGGACCAGGGCAGGGCAGAGTGCAAGCAGGGACTTCCCCAGAGCAGAGGAGTTTTCTTGGTGTGGGGCAGCAGGATGGGAGGACGTGGTTCGGGGCAGAGCTACTCCCAGCTGCCTGATCCTTGTCTTCTTATTTTCATTCCAGTTACTACATTGATGGCCGAGTGGCCAAAGTGACGGACTTCCTGAAAACGCGCCTGTTAGACACGCTCTCTGACCAGATCAGGAAAATCCAGAAAGTGCGTGAGTGCAAAGGGTCTGCGAGGGGGCACCGTGCCCGCGGTGCCTGGCCTTGGCACAGCTCGTGGCCGGGGCTCTGGCCTCAGCACCGACACGCTCCCAGGGGAGCTGGCGTGGGGCAGCGATGGAGGGCGGCTGCTGGGGGAGGCTGTGCTCCCAGCCCAAACGTGGCCAGCCCTCACCCAGGGGATGGGAGGAAAGTCTGGGCAGCATGGCGCCTGGCCCCGGGGTGGGATGTGCGGCGGGCTGGGAGGGAAGCAGCTGCAGGCTGCAGTGTGGCGTGGGCTGTGCAGGTGTGCCGGGACGCGGGCTGGATGCACGGGACAGGGGCAGACGCTGCCGTGCAAAGCCTTTCTAAAGCAGCTGACTCTCTCCAGTCTCCCATCCATCCATTCCTCAAACCTGCTCCCAAGGACGAGGAAAGGAGGGAGCAACCAGGCAGTACCAAACCGTCCTGAGCACAGCCGGTGTCGTGTCTGCTCAGGAGGGGGCTCCTGCTGCAATATCTTGCCCCACTCACTCACAGTGCCTAAAAATGTTGCTTGCAAAGTTGTGACAGTTGCATTTCCAGGGTGATTTTCACTAGTGGAGAATCATGATCGTTATGAACTGTTTTTTTTCCCCTGATGATCATGTTTTGACTGTGTTATAAAACCCAGCTGTTGCTGGCGTGCTGTGTCAGAGCCCATGGCTCTGCCTGACTAGCGCAGCCTGCAGCCAGCTCTCCTCTCCGCACTGGTCGGGAGGATCGGGCTCGCGTCTCTAGTGACTGGGTAGGGGATGGGGGCTTCGCAGGTCCCCTGGCTTTGGCTGATACGGGGGTCAGGGCTGTGAGGAGCCCACCTAGCTGTCAGTCCGACAACAAATAAGGAACACCTAGTAAGCAGGGAAGGCTTTAGGGACTAGAGAAGATGTCCACCCATCTGTCTTGTCTAGGTTTTCATACCATACCAGTCACCACAATGTCTTACTGTTGTAATTCCTGGAGGGAGAAACCGTAGGATGAGTAAACAACTCAAAGAGGCCCCGGGAAAGGGGATGCAAGGATCAGCACAGCAAAACTGGAGGAGAGGAGCCACTTGCCGAGTCCTCTGGCGCAAGCTGGGAATCATCCACTCATGTGGATGATCCTCCCGCAGCAGGGAGGCATGGCGGGGCGACCGGTGGGATCAGCGTGGGGGCAAGCGAGAGGCACCGGCCGGCCCTGTGTCCGCTGGGGGGACACAACCCCACCAAAAGTGGTGGCATGTGTCCCACCTCTGCTGTGGGTTGGGAACCTTCTGGGAAGGGAGCAGGAGCCCCCAGGGTGGGCTGGGTGGAGGGCTCTGGTGAGTGGGGCACCAGTGACAGGATGGCCAGGGACAGTGTTCACCATCCCAGCTGTGGGTAGCTGGGTGGTGACAGCCCGGCAGGACAGGACACAAACCCTAGGGGCTCCCTGGACCCCGTCCATCCCTAGACCAGAGGCAGCAAGGAGCTGCCCTCAGTGTAGGTTGGGGGAATCCTCGCACCCACGGGGCAGGATTTGGTCTGCGTGGGGCAGGGCCGGGGAAGGACTCTCCTGGGAATGCCAGTGTGGCTGAGCAAAAGCACAGCGCTGGGTGCTAATAGCCTCCAGCTTGGCTTTGAGTCCGTGCATCCTGCCGGGGCTGATTAGAGCAGCTGGGCTTGTCCACTTCCCTGTTTTATTGCTTCCTCTCCGAAGGGGGAAGGTGGCGGGCTTAGATAATTACAGGCAGGATGCCAACACCTCTGGGGCTTCAGTCAGGGATGTCGACTCTCACAGGCTGTGAGTGGGAGGCAGCCCAGAGCTGGCGTATTTAACATCTTTGAGGGATCCCAGTCCATCCAGCACATTCCAGCGTTCCACACTAATGGAGCAGGATCCATCAGGCTGCGTGGAGCGGTCCTCGGGCTGCCGGGTTTGCAGACATCTGGTCACGGGAGCTCGTCACCCGGCCTGGAGAAGTGGGATTGCAGGAGAGAGGACGGGTGTTGCTCAGTGCCAGAGGTTGCTCGCGCTGGGAGAGGGCAGCTCCGGCCATCCAAGCCCTCCCATCCCACCTGGCATCTCACAGGCGTCTGCACTGCTGGCTGGAGCTTTAGGGATGGGCCAGCATGCTCAGACCTGTATGCGTCACCTGTGCCAGGGACCCCTTGGACATCGAAGCAGACCCTGCTCAGCCGTGGGGCTGACTCTGCCTGTGGCCAGGGACATCCACTGCTTTTTTCTTGGGTGCCCACCATTCCTCCAAGTGGCTCCAGTATGTGCCCCAGTGCTCCCACGCTGCAGAGCCATCGGGGCTCAGGTGCTCCCTGTGGCTGGCGGCCACCTTGCGTGGGGACATGGAAAGCTGAGGTGAAGTGGCAGGGCAGCCTGCGGGACGAAGTGTGTGGGGAGACCATGGGGAAAGAGCAGGGTCTGGGTTTGGGAGCATGAGAGCACGTTTGGGAGGACGTGTTAGGAGCGGCTCCAGAAGATGCGTAGTGGACATGTGGCAGCAGCAGGAGAGAATGAGGACCAGTTTCCCACCACGCAGACATGGTGAAGACACCTAGTGACCGTGCCAGGGCCGGACAGGCACCCACTGACTGCTCAGCAGCGGCGTTACTGAAGGTCTCAGTAAGACTTCCTGGAGTGTAGCACAGGAGATGTCTGCCTTGTTTAAATCACAAGTTCATGGGAGTCACTTTGGTTGCTTTTGTGTCCCACACAGGTAGTGAACACATACACGCCAGGGAAGAAGATCTGGCTGGAAGGTGTTGGCGCGACCTCGGCCGGAGGCATGAACAACCTCTCCGATTCCTATGCGGCCGGGTTCCTGTGAGTTACGCCGGCTCGCCAGCGCCAGGGCACTGCCACCCCCATGGGCTCTGCGGGCTCAGGTGCTGCAAAGCCGCTGCAGCTGGGAGAGGGCTAGCTCTGTGCCCAGAGACCCCACGTGTACTCCCCCTTGGTACTCCCCCAGCAGCCTGGGCACCATTATTTTCTCCATAGCATCCCTATTACCCCTCCTCAGCTCTGCTTTCCTGTAGGTCACCCAGCCTCTGGCATACCCAGAGAAGCAGAGTAAGGAGGGGACTGCTCGGGATCCCACACAGGTACCCACAGTGTGCCCGTGGGGCATGGGTGTGGAAGGGGAGGTGAGATCCGGGCATGCCAGCTCCAGGACCCAGGGCTGGCACCCTGACAGGCTTGCCTCGCTCAGCAGCTCGGGATCGCCTGGGCCTCCTCCTGCTCTGCGTTTTTGGTTCAGGCTGCAGCCATGTGTCCTTGCATGCATTCACTCCCGGGGCACCTGCCCAGGGAAGCGCTCAGCAGGACTCTGCTCTGGAAACCATTTTCTCTCCTTCTTCGAAGCCACAACCATTCCTGGCTCCTGGGGCTTGTCTACTGGCACAGCCCTGTGGCACGGGCATCCTGCTGCAAAGCCCCAGTTCAGATCTTCAGAGCTGGCCGTGATCACGAAAGATGGAGGAAGATTATCTGGGTTCTAGGGGGAGGCGCAGGGATGTGCCCAGGGGATTGGGGCTGTGGCAGGCTGCAAGGGTTTAAGACTTTGCCCAGGGGGTGTGAGGAGACAGGCTGGTGCAATGGTCTGGTCCCCCCTGCTGAGACGGTGGGTGCAGGGTGCTGGCAGGCTGGGGGGGCACCCCAGGCTTTGGGCACAGGGCTGCAATGCTGGGGTGCATGCAGGGGCTCAGGCGTGGTGTCGGGACATGCAAGCCAAGCACAGCTGGGGCAGAGGTGGCTGTGGCGGGGGAAGAGGCATGCAGGCTTGCCGGGGCGGGGATGGTGGGAGCTGGTTAATACCCAGCTCGCAAAACCATCTGAAGGCTTTGGCTCAGGTACAGGGACCAGGCACGAGGTTGGGTGCACGAGAGCGATGCCATACGCCAGAGTGCAGCTGTGCTGCCGGGGCCGGGGTCCCCCTGCGACAGCCTGACTCTGCTCCCTCCATCCCCAGGTGGCTGAACACACTGGGTTTGCTGGCCAGCCAGGGCATCGATGTGGTGGTGCGGCACTCCTTCCTTGACCATGGCCACAACCACCTGGTGGACCAGAACTTCAACCCCTTGCCGGTAGGTCTGCCCGGGGGCATCGCGCTGGTGCTGGCTTCTCCCCGCTCATTTGAGGAGAGGTTTCTCTCCTTGTGGCCTGTCCGAACTCTGCTTGAAAATGAATTTTTCCGGATCTGTTTCTCGCAGTATTAATAGGTGTTAGTTCATGTCAAACTCAACATGTTGGAGGCAGATGGGAAAGCATTACCTCTGTAGCTGAAGCTTCATCTAGTACCCAGGGTCACGAGCGCGGGAGGGAGGCTGATGCCACCAAGGGGTGCCAGCACGGACTGTGGAGTTAGAGAGAGGGAGGTATGGGGTAGGACCACGCATGGTACAGGGCAGGCAGCCGGATCGGTAGTGGTGAGCTGTCCCAGGGGAAGCCAGGCTGGAGCCTCAGCACCCGACTTCAGATCTCTAGAAATTGAGGTTTACCCTGCCTTGTAAGTGGAGAGCCATGCAGAGTGGCTGGGTGCTCTGCATCTCCCCTGGAAGGGATTTATGGGTCCATGACCCAGCAGACACTGCTAGCGGGCCGGGGATCCGCTTTGGAGTGGTGCACAACCCTGCCGCTGCAAACCTGCCTTTGATGCTGCGCTGGGATCTCGGGGGGCGGCTGCAGGGAGGCAGAGGCTGAGGGAGCTGCATCTTGGTCGGCTTTACCTACTCAGCAGGTGAAAACAGCATCCCCAAGGGTCAGGGGAGGATGCGGGAGGTGTCTGCAACACGAGGTCTGTGCTAAGCCCCCCAGCATGGCCTGGTGGGTGGCTCCGGTGCTCTCAAACTAGTGAGCAGGAGAGCACAGTCCCCTCTCTGTGCTGCTCTGGGTATCTCCTGGAGCGCCCTGGGCTGCTCCTACACACCCCTCTGGCAAGCATACCTGCCAGCTCTGGGGCCCTGGGCTGGGGGGAGCCTAGGGGGCTTTGAACTTTGTTTGAGATGAATCCGAGCCTGGGGCAAGCGCTTGATGGATTTCTTCTGAAGAGCCAATTCCCCTGGCCAAGCCACATCCCCCCCCTCCCCAGGGCCTCGGCCCCCCCACCGGGTTGCTCCTGGCTGGACGGGTGCAGGCCAGCTCTTCCGGCGCAGCAGGGACAGAGGGTGGCCCACGGCCAGCTCTCCTGGCACAGCGGGGACAGCGGCTTCAGCGGCTGGGGGAGGGGGGGCACTAGGATGCAGGCCAGCTCTTCCGGCGCAGCAGGGACAGAGGGTGGCCCACGGCCAGCTCTCCTGGCACAGCGGGGACAGCGGCTTCAGCGGCTGGAGCAGGCGTGCAATTAGGAGCAGGATTAAAGCCAGGGAAGAAGTTTGAGGAATAAACCCCGGGCTGTTAAACACAATGGAGGTCTTTAAAATGGATTTTGCTGTTGTTTTAAAGATAACTCTCCAAATAAGTTAGATGGCACCCCCCTCATGGCTGTT